CACCTGTAGACCTTCCTGACTGACCGCTAGAACCACCTCAAGCATCCCTTCATTCACCAACAGGATCCCGACAACCTTCTTCATGACCAGAGGAGCCACCAGCACACCTGTAGGTCTACCAAAGAAAGAAAACCTCCTGAAGGGCTTCCCCTGTTTTGGTGGATTCATTAGAGTCATGTTGATGAAAGAAAGCTGCTTTATAGACGGACTGATGCTGGAAAAGCACAAATGAAGCGGCCCTGGCCCTCAGGAGTTGATCTGAGATGCCAGTTCAGACTGTTTGTCCCGCTCAGCCCTCCTCATGCCATTTCCCACCCTTTCCACTGTTTCTGTCATAATTAATCTGAACTGTACGGCGTTCTGAGACGACACCGGGGTTGTAATACATTGTCGACTGTCATGCTGCTGTCCTGTGGGGTTCTGGGCACGACGAGAGAAATTAAATCTGATGCTCACTGACTGATGATTCCAATCGTCTGTGGTCGGGGGGCAACGGTAAACAACAACAACAAAAAGAAAAGGAACAGAGCTGAAAAATGGCGGCTCTGAGTGATGAACTGGGCAAACTGGTCCAACTCCAGTCCACATGAAGGCGCGCTACAGTAGTGGCCTCGGAGCTCCAGGACTCGGTTCTGTTTGGCTTGTTCAGCTGAATTTTATCTGCTCCTCTGTCCCATAAAACCTTCCTATTGACAGGCAGCTCCACATCGACCCTCCCTCCCCCCTCTATATCCAGCCCACATTTTTCTTCCCTATGAGTATTAGTTTATTGAATAAGTGGCATCTGTTTTCCTGGCCCCGTCACCGTAAGGCGAGGTATTTCTCACTGACGCACAGCGCTGATTTATACGCCGCTCCGACTCTCCCCACAAAAAATAAAGCTAAGCAAAAAATTTCCAATACATCCTCCTCAACACACACACACACACACACACACACACACACACACACACAGCCTCCTCTTCCCCCATCCGTGCTGTATATAATTAACTTGGCAGATGTTATACACACTCAAACACTTTTACGCTCTCGTCCACAAACTCCCACTTTCTGTCACACACAAACGGCGCGATGATGAGACAGCCAAAGTCACAAATTACTGCTCAAGTGTCCGATTTGCCGGCTTCCTCGGGAAAAAACTGCAGCAACAGTTTGACAAAGTCCGCCCATGGCTGTGTCACATTCCCAGCGTTTCTACAAAGTGCTCCAAGCTATATTTCAAAAGCTGTTCATGTTGTAGAAGCGGCTTTGTAGCTTCTCCATCTACAGGAAAACATCAGAGTTTATTCTCTGTTAAGCTATCGGAGCATTTGGGCGCCTTTGGACCGTTGATTACGAGTTATATTTCCACATTCTTCTATTTTAATAGTCAAAATCTTAATGTCACGACTATTTTAAAACCCCAAAAGTGAATAAATTGTCCGTTAAACTTCTCCAACAGATTGTGAGTCAGAATGTTTCTGCTCCCTAAACTTTCAGTGGTGGGTTTGAGGCTTCAGAGAAGCTTTGGAGCCATAAATAGAAGACATTTTCAGAGGTTTCGTCGACAGAAATCAGAAGTTTCTCCTGCATTAACAGGATGCAGGACGCATTAATGCAGCCAAACATAAGACTGAACGTGTGATGTTTTATCTGTGGCCACTTTTCAGTTGAACTGCAGGCAGTGTTTCCACTGAGAGGAAAATCCAACCTCCTGGATCAATACATAAATGCAGCATGGCTCAGAAACAGTGAACAGAGCAGCCAGTTGTTGGAGGTATCTCCAGCTGATGGTGGAACATCTTTCTGATGAGCAGAGTGGAGAAAAACTGAAATGCACTGAGTTCTGTCTACTTCTAGTGATGGTTGTGCTGTTTCCACAAAGGTGCAGGACTTCATATTGCGTTAACGAACAGCCACTGAGCATCCTGATGTACGCCGTCTTACCTGTCGGGGTTCTGTGGACAGACGTGCATCTGCAGCAGGATTCTCTGGGTGAAGGTCTTGAAGCACTGCCCACACTTCCACAGGTGCCAGTCGCTGAACTCGCTGCTCAGCTGGCTGGTGGAGGTCGGGCTCGCCAGGACCCGCTGGTTCTTGGATCCCAGCTGGCCGAAGCTGGAGTCCGACTGAACGCCGACGCCGACCTTGTCCAGCAGGGAGAAGCTCCGGGGGCAGGGGGAGTGGGGGAAGACCATGGAGCGCATGAGGGTGGCGGTGGGGGTGGAGGAGGAAGACGAGGAGGAGGAGGAGGACGAGGGTTTGCCGTTTTTGCTGAAGGACTGGAGGGACTCCTGTCGGGTCATGGCCTCCATCACTGTGGTCGGGACGTTCACTGGAGACAAAACAAAAGACAGAAATGTTTCGGTTACATGTAAAGAGCTCGTTTTCAGTCAGAGAGTCAAACAGCTGTGACAAGGCTGCTTGTAATGGACTGGTTATCTGAGTTTACACCTTTCTTTCAACTTGTGGTCTGAATCTATAAAGTGCTTTTCTACCTTAAAGCGCTTTGCAATGTTTTCTCATTCACCCATTCACACACACATTCATGCACCAATGGCGACCAATGGCCATGCGAGGTGTTGCCTGCCACTGGGAGCAACTTCAGGTTCAGTGTCTTTCCCAAGGACACTTCAAGGACACTTCGACTGTGGCAATGAACCGCCAACCTTATGATCAGAGGACAACCTGCTCTACCACCTGAGCCACAGCCGCCCAGGACAACACTCTTCATTTACCAGAACATCTACGCTCTAAAGTCTAACGCCTACCTGCCTACAGATAAATATGCCTTGAGGACACGGTGAGTAGCTCAGATCAGATCAAGTTCATTTCTATGGTACATTTAAAACAACTTGAGTGGATCAAAGCAACAACACACAGAACATATACATAAACATTTAGAATAAAATACAAAATACTACAAATTAAGAGCATGAAGATCTACCAAAAGCTCTGAAAACATGTACGATGGCATTTTTCTTCAGTGGAGGAGCAGCTACCTCCGAGGTTCCATCTTTGCCACCCACCAGACTCAATCAGGGAACTTACATCCACAATCCACTGCATCCACAATATAACATCTACAAGGACCTCATAGTGGAGGCATTCAATATGTAGCTTGGCTCAGGAAACCCATCTGGATCCCAAAGAGCAGCTGAAGGACACAGGTCTGGAGAAGGTAGAACTTATGCTAACATGTGCTGCTGAAATCTCCTCGACTGCGGCGCACAAAAGCTATTTGAGCTTCTGACTGAGTGAAGCAGGACGGACAGATGGACGGAGGAACAATCAATCACTCAATCAAACCGTATTTATGTTGCACTTGTCAAACAAATCAAACGCGGTTCAGACGGATTCTACAATCGAACACATGTCGGAGACGTTAAAAACAGACTAACGCATAGAAAACAGCAAGAAAACGATTAAGATGATGAAACATGGACGATAACAAATACATTATCAAGGACTACACAATATAAACCGACTGCAGCAAAAATGAAAAAGTAAAATGAACTGAATGAACTGATGCTAGTTTATAATTTAAATACCAGTATTTTTAACTCCTCTCGTCCTGCTCCAGAGGCTGAAAGCAGCATGGACTAATGTATATGTTCTGCTGGTGGGACCTCGGGCAGAGGTGTTCAAGGTCAGGTCCTACCTCATAAACTAATAAAACACTGCTGAAGATCGACACACAAACTGAAGTTCATGAGGTTTATCTGTCACTAGGACGAGCTGGAAAAACAAACAGAACCGCGACAATGCTGCCGTTGTGATGGAAAAGCAAAGCCGGGACCTCGTGGTGCTAACTGGGACCAGAACCTCCTGGCAGGCCCACGGAAAGCTGCAGCTCCTGGGTCCAGTAGGAGGAACTGTGGGTCTAGTTAGGGCTGTTTGGAATCCCATTGTTGCGCAACCTACGGCTCAGGGTCCAAACTGGGGCCTCCAGAAGGTGCGTGGCCACTATTTACCTCCACTGGTATCACCGGTACTACTTCAATGAATCAACTAATACCGTCATAAATATAACATGTACACGGCTGGTTATAGGCAGCTGCTAACAGATGTGTACCTCCTTCTACGTGGTGTTTTAAATAATGTGCATTTGGATTCGCAGCTTGTAACTGTTTGTGTTTTGGTCACTGCTCTGGTGAGAAAACATCCTGACGTGGAAGCTGGAAAAATAAATATATCTGGTGGATAAGACGAGTTGGGTTTTGTTGGTGGATGAAACAGTCAAACACAATTAGATAAAAAAGGAGAAAAACCTGATATAAAAGCGTGTAAATGAGATTCTGGGCGACCCAGCTGATGCGAGCTGTCCTCACTTGACCCGGGAGTCAGCTGTGTTCTGTTTTGTGGTCTGACAGAAATGGACTCTAAACCCTTCATTATGTTTGAAATGACATTTAGAGGGCTTGTTTTACTTCGACTCGCTGTGGACAGTTTTGTTTTTCATCCTGTAAAACTGGTTTGTTTGGGAGAACCTGGCATGTGGACTGGCAGGTGGTCAAAACGCTGCACTTTGACACCACAGACGGAGAGTTTGTTTCCTCTCCTTCGCAAACAGGAACAATGACCGCGATCGTTCCCAGAGCCTAATCAAGTTATTGTACTTGCCTAAACTTCACCAGATGTCAGCCATCAGAAGCAGGGAAGTCACGGAAACCAAAAGTTTGGTAATCAGTACCAATACCACGGAAACTGTACGACTCTCAATACCGTCTTCGACACCACAGCAACCAGCGACGGAACAAACATCAGCTCTTGTTTGAAGAAACTTTGGACGGAGCCTCGAATAATAAAAAGACGTGACTGCTGTTCAAAACAGGGATGTTCTGCTCCGATCTCAGCTGGAATCAGGACTAATCAGGGCGTTTTTCAACTGACTTCATGGAAGTTCAATCTATGGTCTACGAATACAATTCTTCTTCTGGTTGGATTGGACTTGGACAAACCAGCTTAAAGGTCCACCTGCAGGCTCCTGATGCCATCATGGTGACATCACCGTCTCCAGTAGCTAACTAGGATAGCCGTGGTGCTGTTTGCACTGGTGGGGTTATTGGCATCAAAAACGATTTAGCAGGTCCTAGAATTTCAGATTCTAAAAGAGTGATCAGGAAAGTTTAATTTTACACAAATTCCAATCATGCCAGCAAATGACCTGCAAATAGCTGCCACATGTCTGTATATGAGCTGAACTCCTCCCGTCTCCTGATCCATTTGTCTTACTACACCATGATTCAGCATCGTTCTCCACTAACCTATCCAGGTTGTTGTCGGGTTGTTTAATTAGCATGTGAACAGCGCAAAACCCAGTAAATGCTGCTCCAGAAGGCTTTACACTGACGGGACTGGACTCCACTGTGTCAGTAAATACGACAAGATGCAACAGAAGAGATCAGCGTCACCACGATATCAGTTATTTCACTGAGCTCTGCACTTCTGCTGATGACATTTATCAGTGTTCCAGACGTGAGGCGAGTAGAAGGACTCTGTAGAGGTAAAGTGAGAGTAAAAGAGATTCTTCGTTTTTTCCTCTGTGACAGTGAACGCAACACAAAGACTAATTATTCTGGGCTCATTATTACAGTCGTGACTCCATAATTCGACCCTTAACAATCCTAAACCTGCTATCTGACAGGTTTGTAGGAAACAAATCATCTGACTGAACAATCCCACAGATTGGCTACGTTCACACTGCAGGACTTGATGCTCAATGAGGATTTCTTTGTGACTTCCTTCACGTTTCCACTTCAATGCGACTTGTATGTGATCTGCTGTGTGAACTTCATACGAGCCAAAAGTGTCCCGCATGCGCAGAAGAGGACACGACGACGTCACACGCAGCGAGCGTGCTCAGTGTTTATGGAAGTAAACATGGATGGTAACGGTGGAGCGTATCTGCCACTCCCCCGCCGCCACCGATGGAGGAAACAGAAGTGTGAGCGCTAACTAAACTAGCATCAGCAGCCAAGTACTGCCTGTGTGTTCTGGACACTTCCACCCCGTCAGAGCGCTGCCCCGGGGTGGAAGTGTCCAGAACGTGCACCAGTACACCGGTCAGTTAGGCTGAAGTCCAGCGATGTGTTCTAACAACACACTAGTTATTATAACAACTATTAACAATAATAAACAACTAATGATCCTTCCAGCATCAAGCCCTCCTCGTATCTGGACCTCCATCTATTATAGCAACATGCTACAAACCAGGCTCTGAACCTTACTGGTTAAAAACACAGCGCCTACATTCATTTTAATATATTTTTTTTAGTGTTTATTTACTTCATAGACAACATTGGTAAATAAAGTACTTGGATCCTTTTATTAAATAAACATTAATATCACCAGTAGAACAACATACAATAATATAAATAAGCATTATCAGAACAAATGTACTGTGCACAGTGTCTCCTGTAACCGTTTCACTACATCAGTGTGTTATATTATTGGGTTTTTATTCCTCATGCAGTAATGCAGAAGCAGGGTTTTGTTGCTGTAGTAACTGATCATCTGCAACGAAGCGGGATCAATAAAATTCAGCAAAATCGAACAGATCTTCAGCCCGACCAGTCAGAAGATGCTCATAATGGAATATTGTGGAAGGTAAGTAACTTGTTTTGCCTTGTAGAGAGAACGACAGACGACTTTACACCGTGCCGTCTGTTCCTTCATCATCTCCACGTCTTTTCACCGCTCTACAGAAACAAGCAGCCTCCCTCCGACGTCCTCTGCAGGCGGCTCGTCATAACCGTCGGCCATCCTTCATCAGCTCACCTCTGCCATCAGGCCACCAGGCTCCATTGATCCTCTAATAACCTTATGAGGAGATAATTACACCATTTGTAAGTTGCCCGACGGCGCTATCGACGTCCGCGTTATGCGCCGCTCGCCCACACTTAATTCATTTCGCTACAAACATCGCGTACACAGAAAACGCGAGTCGATACGAGCTGGGGTTTGCGTATGAGATGCATCATCGGACGGGGAGAGTTATGCAGATGCGGCGGGCAACACTGCAGAGTCGGGCCTTTCTTTCTTTCCTTCACAGGGTGTGACGGGAATGCAAAGTGCGATCGCCGCGAAGAAGCGAGAGTTCAAAGTTTGAACTTTTCAAGGCCGACGGAGGCGAGCGCTTGATGCCGACTAGGTGGAGCATCAGCCTCTATATCTCTGTGTAACTCTGCTGCTTTTTGACACTCCTCCTCCTCCTCCTCCTCCTCCTCCTCCTTTGTCTTCATTATGAGAAACACATGACGACCCCTCCCAGCCATCTCTCTCTGTTTATATCGTTTTCTCTTTGTCGTGCAGTTTGACAATACGTACATTACA